CATACAGACAGACACCACCCTCCTCCAGTTCAGAGGAACCTGCAAACAGTCAAGGTCAAACAAGATCACACAAAAAACGAAAACAGATTAAAACACACATGCACTGACATACACACACTGGAGGGAGACACCAGCGGGGGGGGACACCTGGACAAGTGCCAGCCCAGGGAGCGCCCGAGATCTCTGTGTGTGTGTGTGTGTGTGTGTGTGTGTGTGTGTGTGTGTGTGTGTGTGTGTGTGTGTGTGTGTGTGTGTGTGTGTGTGTGTGTGTGTGTGTGTGTGTGTGTGTGTGTGTCTCTGTCTGGTGCAAGCTGTAACTTAAAAGACACTGCCCTTCATTCCTTCAATTTTTTCTGGTTATATACGTACATGTATATATATATATATGTGTGTGTGTGTGTGTGTGTGTGTGTGTGTGTGTGTGTGTGTGTGTGTGTGTGTGTGTGTGTGTGTGTTGTGTGTGTGTGTGTGCGTGTGAGAGAGTGTGTCTGAAACTGTGTGTATCCTCAGATGCCTACAGCTGTGTCTGTTCTATTTTTTTATTATCATTATTAAATAATTATCAGTATTTTTCACATTATAAAGACCGTGTGTGTGTGTGTATGTGTGTGTGTGTGTGTGTGTGTGTGTGTGTGTGTGTGTATGTGTGTGTGTGTGTGTGTGTGTGTGTGTGTGTGTGTGTGTGTGTGTGTGTGTGTGTGTGTGTGTGTGTGTGTGTGTGTGTGTGTGTGTGTGTGTGTGTGTGTGTGTGTGTGTACCTGTGTTTGGACAGGCTCTCCCTGCTCCAGGACGCTGATGAACGGGATCTCCATGAATGAGGACATGAGGTCCAGTTGCAGCAGCTCCTCTCGGTTCTGCGGGAACGCGAGCACCGCGGAGACCCCCGACGCCCCGAGACCCGCACACCCGCACCGGAGCACCGAGTCCGGGTCCGCCGCCGCCGGCTGCCGGGACACCAGCTCCAGACTCAAGTTGTACGGGAGAAAGAAGTTTGTCCTCATCTCCGGGTCCCGGTCCTTCTCCCTCTCCGGGTCCCGGTTCTCCCGGTTGTCCCTCTCCTCCACCGCCCGGTTGAGCGCCGCCTGGACTCGGACCCGGACCCCCCGCTGCGCCGGGAGAAGTGCCCCGACCCGCACCTTGTGCCCGATCCGCTGCAGGAGGAGGCACGGCTGCGGGTGGGGGAGGCAGGGAGGGAGGAAGAGCTGCAGAAGGAGGAAGAGGAGGAAGAGCTGCAGGAGGCTGAGGCTCCGGGACCAGGAGGAGGTGGAAGACATCCTGCCGAGCTCCACATCGCTCTGCCGCCGCTCCTCCCGGTAACTCCCGCCCAAACACCGGGAGAGAGAGAGGGAGGGGAGGGTGGGGGGAGACAGGAGGTACAGGGAGATCCTAACGGGAGAGGGGAGGATGGGGAGAGACAGGGAGGAGGTGGGACATTAAAAAGGAGGAAAGGAGGTGAAATAATAATGTGATGAAGAGGAGCAACAAGTGGTGAGGAGGTGATGAAGGAGGTGATGAAGGAGTTGTTAGAAGCGCTACACGCGGGCGTGTTTTTGGGTGGGATGCAGGAGGTACAGGGAGATCCTGACGGGAGAGGAGGGGGGGTAATAATAATACACACCATCTTTCAAAACTGGATATGCAGTGAATTATAACAATAATAAGAGAGAGACATGGAGGAGGTGGGACATTACAAAGGAGGTGAAATAAGAAGGTGATGAAGAGGAGCAACAAGTGGTGAGGAGGTGATGAAGGAGGTGTTAGAAGTGCTACACATGGGCGGTCAATAAGTAAGGGATGATGTGCAGCGTTCCCTCCTCTCCATTGGTCCCCCCCAACAGCAGTGTGTTATCTAGATTGACCAATCAGAATCGAGTATTCAACTAAGCCGGGAAATAACGACTTTTTGTTAGCATTGTGCTGTAATTAGCCGAAGTTATCGGGAACGCATTTTGTTTTTCATAATGTGATTTAATCAAATGTAAACTGCTGAAACCAGTTCTGTTACTGATTCAAACACAGACATGTTTATGTTATGTTTGTTTTGTGCGCTATGACTTTATACAAAACTAAAAAATGTAAAATGTTGAACACTGTCCCGCATTACAACTGGTCCCAGCACTGAGCCCCCAGCAAAGTGCTGGAGGTTCTATGTGAGCGTTGTATTGATATTATAATGAAGTTATACCATTATAAAATAGTGTTATATAATCATTATCACTTAATGTAACATACAGTGTGTTTTATTAACATCTTGGAAATGTAATGACTAGCAGTTAAATTAATAACTCATTCATTAATGTTCAAAGAGTTTTTGGAGATTTTAATAAATATTATCACAAGGATTGGATGAATACTCGATTCTGATTGGTCAATTTGAACATTTCAGAGGTTGTTAAGACTCGATGACAGACCGCTGTTGAGCAAAAATAATGACCGTTGCTGAAGAGGATCGAGGGAGAGGAGAGGTACAAAAAGACCAGTATCAGCAGTTATTAGAAATGAATAAACAATGAATTATTACATTGATAATTAAACTGCTTTTTAAAATGACATTATAATAAATTACACATGATTATCAAACTGTTGCTTTGAATTTTAAGTTAATGTAGTATTTATAATGTGCAGTATTTATACTGTCTATCATTAATAACATACTGTAACAGAGAGTTTATACTGTGTATTATACCGTTACTGCAGTATTACGTCTCTGGATTCAGATTTTTCTTCACTGCGAGCTTCAGAACAGTAATCGTCAGAACCTCATGTTACATAACACACACACACACACACACACACACACACACACACACACACACGCACACACACACACACACACACACACACACAATAACACATAAACATTTCCATATTAACCAAATCTCTTTGAGAAAAGTGGAACAACTGGAATTAACATTAATTAGAAAGGAATATAATCCAGTGTTTGATCCTGATTTTATGAGGAGAACACACACACACACACACACACATACACACACACTTAACGGTATATTTATTCATTTTGAATATAAACCTCAGTCGTATTATTTGAGAACCTCCGAAACCTCTGAACTTAGTCAGGTTTTAATATTTTTATTATTTAAAGGATATGTTTGCCTGCATAAGATCCTCAAGGTCAAACTAATTATGATAAGATATAATTAAATAAACCCTTCACACTGACTTAAAGACCATATGAAAAAATATTTATACCAACTTGACATTCATCATTTGTATTTTTAAAATGTCACATTTACATTCTACAGCAGATGAAGTTATTTAATTATTAATGTAGATTTTCACTAAATGTCATAAGTTATATTTCAGTCATTGTATAAACTTTAGTCTGTAAGTCTGAATAAAGTATAAATGACCGTAGACTCGATGATGGACAGATTTAAACCTTAGCGAGGAAATTATCCGTCTGAGTTCATCGTTTTAAATCTCTGCCTTTAATCCAGTTTTTAATATTCCTAATGTGTTGTTTTTTTATATCATTACAGTTTTTTTAATTTATTTTTCGGTGCAAACACTGTCACTGAGCTCTTCCTGAATAAATAAAGGGTGCATTTTTTATTTTATTAAAGGTCAAAAACAATCACAAAAGGAGATTAATCAGTAAAAGTAAAACTATTTCATTTGAAGGTTTTACAGACAGGGGGCATATCAAAGGCATTTAAAAATATTTGTTATAAATATATTACAACCAGTCCAAATATAATGAAAACACCCCAACCAAATAACAGCTAGAAAACACTCCTTTAAAATACAATTGCAATTACAATATATTATCGATTTTTTTGTTGGAATTCTTAGGAAGTGAAGTCACAGCCTTAAGCCTCATTCACTGATCATTTTATATTGAATTTAATATCTGTCAGGGAATGATTTCGCCCTACATGTTGACCTTTCGCCCTCTGACGCAGCTGATCAAGGAGGGGCTGCCCTAGCAAGTTGTTATTGTTACCAGTTTGTGACCGGGCAGCTCTCGGTCAGAGATAGTTATTGTTGTGGGACACCTGGAACACATCCTTCTCGGGGTGTAGATGACCCCGAGCCATAAGAGACAACAAATGTGATTCAGTGTCCTCAGCTGTTTAGTCTATCACATGACATTACATTTAGCTGATGCTTTTATCCAAAGCGACTTACAATAAGTGCGCTCGACCAAGAAGATACAAGCTTGAAGAAAACAGAATCATAAAGTACATCAGGTTTCATAGAGCCAAACATTTCAAGTGCTACTCAACTGGCTTTAGATAAGCCAGTCCTTTATTAGTATAAAAGTGCTTTGTTAATAGTTCTATCGCTCGAAGTGGAGTCGAAAGAGATGAGTTTTCAGTCTGGAAGGTGTGTAAGCTATCTGCTGTCCTGATGTCAATGGGGAGCTCATTCCACCATCTTGGAGCCAGGACAGCAAACCCACGTGTTTTCGCCGATGGGAACTTGGGTCCCCCTCGCAGCGAGGGTGCAGCGAGTCGTTTGGCTGATGCAGAGCGTAGTGCACGCGCTGGGGTGTACGGTTTAACCATGTCCTGGATGTACGAAGGGCCAGATCCATTCACAGCATGGTACGCAAGTACCAGTGTCTTGAAGTGGATTCTAGCAGTTACCGGAAGCCAGTGGAGGGAGCGAAGGAGCGGCGTGGTGTGGGAACATTTAGGAAGGTTGTCTATTGAAGAATGTTGATCATTACACTCTGAACTAGTTCAAACCTGGAGCTACAGGAGGGCTCTTCAGAATTGATAGTGGCATCTCAACCGTGTGGTCAGACCGTGGCCCGTGACATGTCTTGTGAATTCTCCGGCCGAAGCTCCAAATAAACCGTCAGTGTTTTCCATCAAAGCTCCAGTTCTCCTCGTGTCCTGTTTCCAATTGCTTCAGAATCCCCCCCCCCCCCCAATATCTTCTTGATATTTCTCCGGCAGAACATTGTCCTAGATTCTCTTATCAGAGAACCGGTGCCATGCTACATTTATAATTAAAAGGTTCATAGGTGTAAGTATGAATAATAAAAAGTCTACAGATCTATTAATTCACATTATGATATATATTAGTTAATAAAACACAGACATATTCTCCTGGTCTGCAGTCAGGAGCTCAGATGGAGTTTGCTGTAGAAGTGTTTCTTCTTTTTGAATGTGGTTTATTTGAAGCTACACTGCATAGAATCGCTCTGATCATTTAAACTCACACCAGCCGGGGTTAATTGAGGTCCACGTCTGAAATCTTCTGTAGACTCAGTTCCTTTAGAATAAAAGCCTAAAAGTATGTCAGGGACCGATTATTGATTTGATTGGACGGATTTAAATTACTGTTCATTTGCTGTACGTCACAAAGAGACCCCAAAAGTCTAAATCTGGGTCTAAAGTTGTCGGGGGTAATAATGAGGTAACGTTTATGTTTGTTAATAATGAGGTATAGTTTCTGATTGTTCATAATGAGGTATCGTTTCTGGTGGTTAATAATTATGTGGCAACGGGGTGTGGTTAGGGCGCCGGCTGCTGGAGTGATGAGAGTGGCTCGGCCAGGGACCAGACAGCTGATCAGAATCAGTCACTGGATAAAAGCATGTGGTTCTGGTCTGTCCTGCAGTAGGCTGGATCCTGGCGGACGCTCTTGGCCGCGGAAACAGACCCATAAAGACCCGCACTGGCCACGTTGATATTTACCCTGTCTCCTTCCATCCCCTTTTTACTGTGTGTGAGCGGAGAGGCTCACATTATGTAAAGTTGGTTAATGATGACGTAAATCCTCTTATAGTAAATTGGAAAGTTTCCGATTGTTAATAATGAGGTCAAGTTTAATTCATTATTGTAATGTGTAACATTCACTCACTGCAGGAACATTTCCACATCATCAAAGACACAGGAAGTCTTACCAAAACAAAATCATTTTATTTTATAAAAACAAAATCATCACAGACGGTTTTAACGTGTGCACATGTTTACGGAGGTGTGTGTGTGTGTGTGTGTGTGTGTGTGTGTGTGTGTGTGTGTGTGTGTGTGTGTGTGTGTGTGTGTGTGTGTGTGTGTGTGTGTCACACTGTGTGTTTATGTGGGTTTGGTGAGCAGCTGGCTGGTGAACTCGTAAAGATCTTTGTTGACTTTCTTCAGAGTTTGAACTTCCTCCTCCAGCTCGGAGACTCGAACCTTCGTGTTCTCCCCGTCTCCGTACACCGACTGAAACATCAAAATAAATATTTAATAACAAATAATCAGGGATTATAAAAATAGTGCCGATTAATGTTAATAAAGTGAGCAGGCATTCTTCGGGCTCTCTGTGACATTTTATATTTTTGTCTCTGACATTTAGCTGTTT